TGGTCCTCTAGCATAGTGTATGACACCACAGTGAAGTGTTTTAATATATCTGGTGCTTGTGTCATTTTATTGTTTCTTATGAGTCATCATTAGATCACCCAATCACAGCAAAGTGCAACAGGCGAGAGGATAACACTGCTTGAACAAATCGTTAATTTCTTAAGTTGAACCACTGCTTTAAATTCAAGTTTGTTAAGCTGTTTTCCTAGAGTCACACACTTTCATTACAAAACACAGAAAAGAATAATATTTTTTCATTTCCTCTGATATATTATTATTCTCCTGTGTCTGGTGCTAAAAACCACACAAAACAATGTTGTTGTTCTATAAGCATTAATATTTAAATGTAGTGCTCTGCTGTATAGATAATCATTTCATATTTTCCCTATAGTACGTATTTGTCCTACAGTATAGCCTCACTAGTTCATGCACTGGGTATGTTTAATTTCTATTCGCAGCACAGGCCTCTGCTCACAAAATGTTAAATCCTTCATTATTATATATTTGTCAGAAAACTCATGTGTCATGTCATAGTAAAATATCAATTATTAATGCCTAAATGCTACCCATGCATAGAGTTTTATTTTTTTCTTTCTAGCATTTAAAGCTTTGGTACAGCACTGACCAGTACTGTGTAGGCTCGACAGGAACCAACAGTCTTAAAGTAAGCCTGGCACAGACTGCTGCATGTTTTGCATAGGAGAAATTTGGCTCAAAGGTTTGACAACACCTTGCATTCAGGGGCGATTCTAGGATCAGAGCTTTGGGGGTGCTGAGCACCCAGAGAGCTGCCCAGCCGGCCAAGATACACTTTACTCGTCACAATGAGACTTCTTCCTTGTCTCTGTCAGTCCCTGCATCCTCCCTGTCCTTGTCGTCTGTTGTCTTCGTCTCCGTTATCAGTCATCATAATTTTACCATCTCTGTGCAAGTCTGCAAATTTCTTTATTAAATCATAAGATTCTTAAATTCATCAAGTCTCTCTGTGCCTGGGTCCTCGTCTCAAAACATGACATCACTGTTTTGTGCATTTTAACGCAATTTAATCCCCACATTTGTGAAAGAAATGCAAAACACTTTTTTGAAAAGTCTGTAACAAAACCATCAAATCTGATAAAGGTTATTTAAATGCTGCAAAAGAAGAATGGATTGGAATAAAAAAAGAAAATACATATAGTTCCTTAATTACTGGGGGAAAATTATGAATGATGCTCATAGTGAGTCAAAAGTAAACTGAGTGGATTTTTGGACAGAGATTCAATTTTAATGTGTATGTATAATATAATACAGATGCACAAAAAAACACTTCCAAAACAGAATAAATTATTACAAATAAATTATTACAAAATATTTAAAAAATATATATAAAAATGGAGGCAACTTTGCCTGTGGTAGAATGTATACCATGCATGAAAAAAATCTTTATTGCAGATACTAGTTTTACTAATTTAATAATACAATTTTTGCGTTGTAAGATTTATGATTTTCATTTTTTCATAGTGGTACTTAGGAGAGCTTGACATTTTTTATCAGGTGGTACACACTGTAAAAAGTTTGAGAAACACTGATAAGTGTATGTGTGCTTTTGGAAAACATTTAAAGCTGCTGTACAGAATCTTTGAAACAAGCTTAAAACATTTTTAGAATATAAACAGAGCACTCTGCTTCTCTTTACAGC